TGAGACTTTATGAGACTTCTTGCTTATCTTTATTACTGTCAAAGAGAGAAGTAAAGGTAATCAGTACAAGAGTATGACAACAACAGAGCGTGTCATGTTTTTATATTCAAGTCAGAGTCTCTTTGGCATCTATCCACATGGAGGTAAAAGTTAACGGGAAATATTACCAGAACTCATTGCAAAAATGTTTTTTACTAATACTTTTTAGAAGAAACATGCCTTATGAAAACAAACTCAAAACCAAATGTAAAATATGTACCAATGGGCTTTTTAAAGAAAAAAAAATTGTAAGACAAATTAATATCTACTTCATTTCCATTTCTAGTCCTTTAACATCTAATTACTTTTAATGTTTAATGTTTCCTTATCACCATTTTGCTTTTTGGAACCCACTGCCTGTTGTCTCAGTACTTATCGTATAGAGACAATGTCCAACGTTTCACTTTGGCTTAAAAATCTGATCCAGTTGTTTAAAAATCTGATCTCTTGCCAGATGATGGCATGTGTAATAATGACGAAAGTCTGAAAGAAGGAGGAAACTCTTGTAACCTACATAAGCATACTATTCATAAGGCACTATGGTGCAAACCATAAGGATATGACTTAGTTTTTTACTGATTCATAAATATCAAAACCCATCTTTTTCCCTTTAAATCCTGCTCTTATGCTCTTCTCTAACTCCTTTCTGACTCTTTCAGGATTGTTAAGAGTTTTGAACAATGAACGATGTCTGGAATGGGCTAAAACTCAGGCCTCATGGCAGACAGTTGATGGCAGACAGTTGATGGCAGACAGTTGATGGCAGACAGTTGGTGTTGCAGCAAGTACTCTAGTCTGAGCTCTGTGGACCAACAGCTGATGTCGTTCCATCATGATGTCTGTTATGGTTTTATGGTTTTATTCCTTAGTCTCATGAATGCAAAAAAGCAGCCATAAGATGGTGGTATGAGAAGATTGGTCAGAATTTAAGTTGCTATCAGCTATAAAATGCTTCCAATTTATTGAATAACAATTAACAGGTAAAAATCAGAAGAAGACTGAAAATTCCAAAGGAAAATAAACTGAAAAACAAGTAAGTGGATAATTTTGATTTTAAAAAATGGATTCTTTAACCATAATATTAATAAAAAGCCTAAAAACGATGATCTTGCATGTAGCTGGGCGTCTCTATATGGAGTATGTAATAAAGGTTTATCACTTTTATTCCTGTAAAATCAAAAGTCTCTTTGGTTTCCATCCAGCTACAGATAAAAACCAGGAAACAGAACTTACAGTAAAGTATTTTGATAAAGTCAACTTCCTTCTGAAAAAACATTTCATTGGAAGAGAAACTCAGAAGCAACTAAGTTTAGCTCAAAAAGAGCTTATTTCTATATTATATGTGTGATTGTCACTTAACTGTGGAATGAGATTGGAACGGAACCTGTTACATCTGTACCAGCATTAAAAGGCAGATATGAGTAAGAAACGGCAAACAATTAGCTGATGAAAAATATCCTTGATAATTGGTATTACTATTGAAGTTGCACTGAAGTTCATTTGAAAACATTTTTTGTTTTTGACATGCTACTGATGATCTGAATCTTGTGTTCAGTTGCTTGTACAGTGTGACAGTCTTATTTTTTGTGATTGTTACAATGCTATAATCTAAATACCAGTGGCAAATTTAAACTCAATATGAGCTATACAAACATTTCCCTCACAAAAATTGCCACTGTACATACACTTTTCCTGCATTTTCCAGTTGTTTGCTTTAAGCAAATCTAAAGGAGGGATTTGGAAAATGCCCCTATTTTTACTATTGCCCCCAGCAGCCATATTAGACAAAGTGTGCTTCTTCCACGATGCTGTGATGTTTTCCTTCAAATATTCCTACAAACAAATAAGTCTGAATCTTTAGTCTTTAAATATAAAGTTTTAAATGAGCTGGACTAGATATGTTACGTATTTTTAAATGTGTGGTGAACTGCTGTAAAACAGCCTGTTTCAGTTTAAGAGTTGTTTTCAACAGATTGCATGCTCAAAAAGAATATGTTTTGTCTCACTCCCATTTCTTCTCAACCTTGTTTTGATTTTTTTGATTGATTTTGATTTTGATTTTTTGTTGATTTTTTGTTGTTGCCATTTTTCAAGTGATCTTAAACTTTTGATTGGGACTGTATGCTGGCTTATATTTTGATCAGATTTAGGTGATTGTCCAACTGTATTACCATCAGTAACCCCATATAAATCATGGTTCTGTGTTTAACAAGTACAACAATATTGTTGTTGTAATCATCATACACATATTTAACATTATGTGTATGATGAATTGACAACACAGTTTTTATCTTTCTGCATTCCTTCAGACACACACAAAACTGGGTTGAAGGTTGAAGCTAGCTCATGTGCACAAACACACCACCACAAAACTCAGACATTAGAACAATCATTTCTACTGCTCAAAATACATTTCTCATTCATATATTGATCAAACTTATATTTTGATTAGTCTTTGATTAAGAATTAAAATGCTTTATTATTAGGAACTAGAGAAAAGCTCTGTTTTAGCACTTTGATCATATTTAGTCACATAAGGCTGGATATCAAGACCTTTTAACCTCTCTTAGCTGTGCAGAGATAGCGAGGGGGGACTTCAATCTCTTTCTACCCCAGGTCTCAAGACAGTTATTATAATTGTCGTTGTCCCAGATTTTAATGACATTTCCTCTTGTGGTACTAATAAAGGTATCTTATCTTATCTTATCTTATCTTATCTTATCTTATCTTATCTTATCTTATCTTATCTTATCTTTAAGGCCTATTAGGAGTGTTCATAAGAGGGTCTTGGCTTTGGAGTTGATGTCACACCGCAGTGCATTGTGGGATCGCGCCGCCATGTTAGAAGGCCACGAATCAAAACAAACACACTTGGAAGCAGGACTGCCAGAACCATGCTTAAAATCAGCACAAAAGACAAAGGGCTGTATCGTGACCGATTGCGCCCAGACGCCAAGAGACGGTACTTGGAAAAAATAGTGTGCATCGGTAATGTGGACTCGTATGAAAAAAGGCAGTGGAGTGGAAACCCAGACGACCTACCGCCATTGTCCTATCCCGATATCTTCGCGTACCTTGTCTGTGGAGTCAGCGCATACACGGCGAATCTTGTTTTGAAAAACCAAAAGTTGTATCCAAGATGGCCGACTTCTAAATGGCCACCATGGTCACCACCCATCTTGAGGAGTTTGCCCCCTCACATACTAATGTGCCACAAACAGGACTTTAATATCACTAACCATTCCCTTGTTATTATGGTGTATCCATATAAATGGCCCACCCTGTAGATTTATAGATATGTAAATGTGCGTATATGTAAAACTTTCATGGATTAAATGTGATGAACTTTGCCAAGTAGTAATAAAATTATATAACAGTCACGCGAAGGCTCAGCAGAACTGTTTAATGATGAACCCTACAGGCTTCCCCCTCTGAACTAGCTTTCAAATAGCTCATGCTGATAAAGGCCGAGAGATTAGATCCACCCTGTGGGCAGACTGCTATAATCTTCTTCACACTAAGAGGAATCCTGCTTCCTTTCATTCTCCAAACAGAGAAGAGATGGGCAACAGCGAGTCATTCTCTGAAGGTGAAGCTGAAATTTTAATTTAGACCTCCAGCTAAAATTTAGATTGCTAACCAAATGAAATGACGCAGAATGTATGAAATGATACAACTATTGTAATTTGCTGTTAAAATATTTTCAACCTATCATGAGTATAACAGAGTTTTTATTTCTACAGGTGATCCTCTGAGGATTGTGATGATTGGGAAAACTGGTGTTGGGAAGAGTGCTGTTGGTAACACCATTATTGGCAAAGAGGTTTTTCAGTCTTTAGTGAGTTCAGAGTCAGTGACCGAGACTTGTGAAATAGAACGAGTTAGAGATTGCAAAAGAAAGATCCAAGTGGTCGATACCCCCGGCATTCTGGATACGTCTAAAAATACAGACATCATAAATAAAGAGATTGCAAAATGCATTCACATGACCACTCCTGGGCCTCACGTCTTCCTGCTGGTTCTTCAGATTGGCAGGTTTACCCAAGAAGAAAACAACTCTGTGCGAGCTCTGGAGAAACTCTTTGGACCTGAGGCAACAAACTACACGATCATCCTGTTCACTCACGGTGACAAGCTAACTAAAGAGAAGACAACCATACAAGAGTATTTGAGAACTGGCCAACCTAAACTCAGACAGTTGTTGGCTAGGTGTGGTGAAAGATATCATGTCTTCGATAACAAAGATAAAAACAGAATTCAGGTGGCTCATCTGATCAAGAAGATCGATCACATGGTGGGAACAAATGGAGGATGTCACTACACAGATAAAATGTTTGAGAAAGCGCAGGAGCAATTAAAAACATCAGGACAGCTTTTAAATGAGGCCTTCATGGCAGAGCTGCGGCAAAAAGTCATCCTGTTTCAGCAAATATTGGCTAATCCAGAGGGCTGGACTAGCTAGGACTACACTTGCCAGTCTTCTGAGTCAATAATGGATCCTTAATCTGATGTAAACGGCCATTAGTTTCCAATTTTGTAATCACAGTAGCTTAAAAAACTGCTTAATGTTTTTAGTTGATATGCTGTCTTATGTCTATTATTATGTGTATAATAGTGTTGTCTGAGAACAAATGTATAAATAATTTAAGTCTGTATGTCTGGTATGTAACCTACATTACATTTATTTTTATGTTCACTAGTAAATATTTTGAGCAGTATATACAAATTCAAGATCTGCTGTAATTAAATAAAACATGAATTGAAAAAAACGTTTTTTTTCACCTTTTTTGTTTCACTATCAACCATAAAAGTTGATACATCAATCGCGATTTGGTCAAAATTCAGTGACTAATTGAAAACGATCTATTTACTATTTTGGTATCATATCATAATTTGAGGAAGAGGTCAGAGCATCGATCTGAGTTTTACTTATATTGTACCAAATTGCGGCACTACTTGCCTCAGAATACTTCATACTGTTAGGTAAAGAGTTTACATTGTTAGAGACATCAACAAATAGTCCCGTAGGAGTAAGAACTAAGTGAATGTGGGCAGGGAAAGCTTCTTTTTAACAAAATCTCTGGAATCTCCAGAGAAAGAGAAAATTTAGGGAGAAGGAAAACAAGGACAAAGTATAGATGATGGGAGAGAGGAGACAAAATTACATGAGGCAGTAGTTATAAATCCCCGGGGAATGAAAAGAGGTAATAGGGAATCAATGCTCAGTGTATAGAAGTTTTATATAAAAGTTTTAGATTTATATTTTTACAGTAACTTGATAACAGCAAAACTACAGACAGACCACAGGACTCATTTTCAAAATACAATGACAGTAACTTTATATTTGCACTAGTTTTATGTGTCCGATTGAAATATTCAAATTAGTGTTTCACCTGTTGTTACATTTTAACCTTTATCTAAAGCTGTTTGGAAACTACTAAGATTTCTGAACATAATAAAAACCTGTTATCAAATGTTTTATACTCCCATAGAGCACATTAGTGATTATGATTACTGCTGTTAAAAAATTATCAAGGCATAATCATGTCACGAAATACCTGAATGCCATTTTATTACTTTATGAGATTGGAAATGACTGGAAATGAAGACGAGGAGTTGCCCTGTTTTTTCACATATCTTTATTACTGTGAAAAAGAAAGGCCAGCATTGACCAGGACATGAACAACAGGCTATCGTCACTTTTTTGTATTCACAAATTAAAAAGTGTTTTTGCCCTGGAGATGGAAACCAAACCAAACTAGATCAAACCAATAACTGCAACACAAGCAAAGCAGCATGTCGTCCTTGTAAAAAGAAGTAAAAAACGAACAAGCCAAGAGGCAAGTTTCTATTTTACATGTTTTATTCATTATCAGCACAACAATGAAAACAACACAAAAACAAAAAACAAACAGAATCACATATATTTAAAATCATTACATGCATTTACAAATACATATATAGGGAAAAGAGGATATAAAGAAAAGAAGAAAAGAAAAAAAAAAACTACAAAAAAACAATTATTTACGATCTACCATCTTCACTCCAGCAGTGGACCTTGGATTCATTGGGTGTTTCGGCCACGTCTATCACTAGACACCCTTATCCGAGGAGGCCCTGCCAGGGTTGATCAGGCCCCGGAGTGTGTCACTGGTTTATGTTAAAATTGTTATTTCTCTTCTACTTCTCTTCTACTTTCTTCTGTTTAGTTTTCTACAATTTACTTTCTTGTACCTCTTTAATATTTATGGAGCCTCACTTTTTCAAAGGAATAGAAAAGGTGATAGAGAGAAGTAAGACAACAGAGAAAAGATCAGAGAGGAGAGCTGGAAGGGGGGCGCCCAATCTGGCATCCTAAACTCCCCCACTGGATCGGACTATATCCTACACCCCCCCCCCTCACCGTATCTAAAAGCGTACTTAAAAGAGAGGCAGTGGAAACCTCCTTTAGGTTTCACTACCATGATGTTAACTGCACGGCCCCCAGGAGGCCCTGAGACAGCTGTATCAGTCAACCAGCAGAATTCCTAGTGTTAAGTTTTCTACCCTTTTGATGCCCCCTGCTGAGGCAGGCCCACCACGGGTTGATCAATCCTGGGGTGTGTCTCGTGCTTAGCTAACTGCCTTAGCTGCCCAAGTGATGTCAGCCCTCTTTAGCCACAGTGACTGCTCCTCTCAGCAGTGTTAGCCAATTCTCTTATAGACTACCGTTGTGCC